GGGGGGGAGCTGAGACGCCCCACTGTCTTGTCACATGCCTAATTACCCATCACTACCGTTACCCGCATTACAATTTCTGACGCAATCTCTCTCTCTCTGTTTCGCAGGCGAGTTCTGGATCGGTAACGAGGCCCTCCACCGACTGACGGCGGACGGCTGCATGGAGCTGCGCGTCGAGCTGGGCGACATCTACGGGCAGCGCTGGCTGGCCGAGTACGACCAGGTGGTGGTCGGGGCGCGCGAGGACGGCTTCCGGCTCAGCGTGACCGGCTACCGCGGCAACGCCTCGGACGCCCTCGACTACCAGACGGGCATGGAGTTCTCGGCGCCGGACCGCGACCGCGACACCTCGCACACCCACTGCGCCCAGAACTACGAGGGCGGCTGGTGGTTCTCGCACTGCCAGCACGCCAACCTCAACGGCCGCTACAACCTGGGCCTGACCTGGTTCCAGGCCGACCGCAACGAGTGGATCGCCGTGGCCACGTCCGAGCTCAAGCTGCGACGCCAGCCGGGCTGCGTGTCCAGGTCACCGCCGTCCACCACCAGCACCACGAGCACCACCACGGACGCGCCCAGCACCACCAGCGACACCAGCCTGGCCTCGAGCCTGGCCTCCACCAGCGACCTCAGCGACGCCACGGTCTGAGACCGGTCACTTGTTGTCGATTCGGCGCCGCCGCCGCTGCGTTGAGGGAAAGGGGTTATTTCGACGACCACCACTTCTCCATAGGACGTGATTATATACTTATTGAGAATGTTACGGTGTTCTTACTTCCTAGTCAGAGTGTGACTGAGACTTTGAGGGGGCTGGTGCCACGATGTTACCGTGCCGTAAGGGAATGACCATAAATTCAGTTGCGTTTCGTACAGTCTGACTGTGTTTCGACACTCTTGAACCCCCATAGATTCTCAAAAATATGTGAACTTTTGTCGAACTAGAGACTATAGGGTTCTAGAGCTAAGCAAGTCAAAGGTTTTATGTTGGTGCATGTAATTTGTGCCCACTCTGCTGTGGATTTGCAAGAACCATTAGACTTCAACAAACTGTCATTCAAATGGATGACAAGTTTTCTTCCTTTTCCATGTAGAAAAAAAAATAGGCTGATTTTTGTTTATTTAATAAAATGATGGGATTTCTCAACTTTATTACACAGTCAGAAATAGTTGGGCAATTGATATCAATAAGGATTCGGTTTTGGCTGTGTAACTTTTCAATTATTGATGTGAGTATTTATACGTGACAAAATAAATGACTTGCGAGAGAAAAGTCATTTGCCCATTTGCATAGGGTGAAACTTAATAGCAGTAAACCAAAGCAATTTTTTTTGTTACCAATTTATTTTGTAAAAGTTCAACTTGTATGTAGTATGTAATAAACAGCATTAAGTGTTTTCTTTTCAGAGAAATGAACTTGTTTTCAGCTGTTTAATTTTTAGGTCTGTTATTTATTTGTAAATAATTTTCACAGAATATTGTATAAACTAAGTCATAATAGAAAATTTCAAATTCATTAGCATTATTTAGGAATATATTGTTCTCAAAAACATCTCTTTTAGGCATGATAGAGCCATTGCTTAAACTTGCTATGGCATAGTTGTCTTGTCGCTAATTGGTTACTCATAATTCATTTTGAAATGTAATGAATTATTCATTTAATGAAGGTATTTACTTTCTCAAAATGTTTAAGTAAGGTATTGGTATCAGCACCCAAAGACATGTAAATTAAAATACCTCTCATTGCTAGGTTTTAAAATTAAATTTAAGTTATTAAGATGAGTGTCTGAATTGCGATAAAGTGATCATATGTGTGACTGTGTGAGTAAATGAGGTGAGGAACATGTAAAGTGTCTACAAATAAGTAAACGTGAATAAAGATTTGTTTTAATGATAAAGGATTTTTCTTTCATTTCGTCCTCCTATTTTTACACCTGCCGACATTTATTGATCTTGACTACACACCATTACTTAAGTGATGGGTATCCGTACAGACTCCTTTGAGACTGGGGTGGACTAGAGTGGAATTCCCCCCCCCCCCTCACACACACACACACACTCACACATACACAGGCTTAAGCAAAGGAGAGTACATTCAAGTTCAAGTGCTACCCCACATTAGCAAACTAGTCAGAAGTATCATGAGACGAAATACACTCGTTCACCGTAGCTAATTTAATTTAGAATTTTTATTCAACACCCTGTTAATAGAAGCGATTTGCTAGCCTTACTTAACCTAACCTAACCTAACCTTGCTGCTCCTTTGTGTCAAGTACATTCAAGTGCAAGTGCTATCAAACAATTTAAATTCAACATATCCTCTATCTATTGATAGAAGCGTGATGTGACTTGAATGTTAACCGTGAACGGTCCTTGCGTCGTCAGCAGACGATGTAAGGTCAATCAGACGTCAGAACAATTTCTTTTGTCTTCTAGAGGGCGCAGATGCAAATGGCGATACGATACGCCCGCGTCCGGTCATATCTGGGTCCAGGATCATGAAAACAAGTCGTCCATCTAAGTGAAATTCGCAGTTGTTATTGGAATTTTCTTCCGAAAGAATACGTTGTGCTAGTCTACCGTGAACTCTTGCAAAATCTTCACAAACCATGGGGGTTCCAAAGTTTTTCCGGTACATAAGCGAACGCTATCCTTGCCTCAGTGAGCTAGTAAAAGAATACCAGGTACTGTGTTATTGTGTGTTTACTGCCTAACTACTTGTTGTCATCTATCTTGACAGTAATATTTTAAAGTATCGTCGACTTTTGATTGCCCTTTTCACTCTGCCCTTTCACTGTGATTTTCATTTCACTATTTTAATCACAGTGCTTTCACTGTAACCTCAATTTTTCAGATTGAACACAATTTCAAACTACTATGTTTAAAGAATAAAGAGCGTTACATGTTTTTATTAGCTTTCTTTACTGTCTTAAAATCTGTTATCAGCTCTTTTTGAAGCTATTTATTAAATTTTTGATTTAGTCTGTCTCTACTTAACAGACTGATAATGCTTTGTGAAGCTTACCTGTTTCTCGACCGTTTTCCCCCCAAAATGAATATTTTATTATCAACTCAAAATTTATTGCACAGCCTATGTAAAATGTGTATTTCAATGCATGACTGTTTTTTTTATACAGATCCCAGAGTTTGACAATCTCTACCTGGATATGAATGGTATCATCCATATGTGTTCGCATCCGAACGACTTTGACCCACATTTCAGGATAACTGAAGAAAGAATATTTAAAGATATTTTTCACTACTTGGAGGTTTGTTACTATAAAATCTATGAAATATTTCGTCATTGTATTAGCATATAATCAGCATTTCTTTATCTTATTTGTTCAGATTCTTTTTCAAATAATAAAGCCAAGGAAGTTGTTTTTCATGGCTGTTGATGGAGTTGCTCCCAGAGCCAAAATGAATCAGCAGAGAGGACGCAGGTACATTTTTTGGAAGTTCATTGTTTTGTTGGGAAGTTTATCTGCTTATTTATGTATGAAACATTCTGTTAACTTTTAGATTTCGCTCAGCTAAGGAAGCCGAGGTATTGGAGAAGAGAGCAGAGGCCAAAGGAGAAAAATTGCCCAAAGAAGCACGGTTTGACTCAAACTGCATTACCCCAGGCACAGTTTTCATGGCAAGACTTCACGAACAGTTGAAGTATTTTGTCACTGACAAAATGTCTAATGACCCCCAGTGGAAAGGTGTTAAAGTGATTTTGTCAGGCCATGAGGTAAGGCCCGTGTTCTTTTTTCTGACATTTGTCATTATTTGTCATCTAAAATTTACTTTAATTGTAATCTTCCTTAATTTAGACACCTGGAGAAGGAGAGCATAAGATTATGGAGTATATAAGATGGATGAAAACTCAAACAAGTTATGATCCTAACACACGTCATTGTCTGTATGGTCTGGATGCTGATCTGATGATGCTTGGTTTATGCACACATGAGCCTCATTTTTCCCTTCTTCGTGAAGAAGTGAAATTTGGCAAACAATCTAAACGAACATCAGTTCCTGAAGAAACACGATTCTATCTCCTGCATCTTTCCCTGATGAGAGAGTACCTTGATTTGGAATTTCAGGCTTTAAAGAACAAGCTTAAATTTCCATATGATTTAGAATCTATTATTGATGATTGGGTAAGATGACATTTTTTTTCTATCATACTGTATTTCAACAGTAAAACAGTCAACAGTAAATCAATCAATCAATTGTTGGTATGCACTTTATTTTTCAACTAAAATTTAGCCCTTTTGTTTTGCTCTAAATCTTTAGGTCCTAATGGGATTTCTTGTTGGCAACGATTTTATTCCCCATCTGCCTGATGTTCACATTGCAAGTGGGGCCCTACCAATGCTATATAATGCATACATAGAGGTTTTGCCCACATTAGAAGGTTATATCAATGAAAATGGGCACCTTAAACTTGATCGTTTTCAAAAGTTTATGGAAAAATTGGCAGCTTTTGACATCAATCAATTTAAAGACACTTATGCTGATATGAAGTATTTTGAAAGCAAAACTAATAGGAAAATGGGATCAAAAGATAGCCGTGCTGACAAACAACCTCAAAACGGAGATGAAGGCCTTAGTGAAACAAAAACTGGGATCTCAGAATTGGATGCCCTAATAAAAGCCACTAATGAAATGGTAAGTAGGCTAAGTGAATGTTAAATACTGTATTAAGATAAATTTGCATATTTCTCTAAATCCTTATATTTTATTTTTATTTTTTGTAGGTATTGGAAAAGTTTTTTGATGATGAAGAAGGAGATGCTGGTATAGTAGATGAAGATGAAGATGATGTTGATGTCTTTGCCTCAAGAACATATGATGATGATTCTGATTCAGAAATATCTGACACATTCAGATGGGAATTTCATCAGCATAAAAAAGATTATTATAGGAATAAATTGGAATACGGAAAAGTGACAGAGTAATACTATTTTTGATAAGCCTGAAGTGCTTTTTATGTAATCCAGTTTTGTTGTTTGTCAAACTTAAATTAACCGACCCTTTCTTTATTTTAGACATGTTTTACGAGACCAGGCTGAGGGCTATGTTCGGGCAATTCAATGGAACCTTCACTATTATTACCATGGAGTTGCATCTTGGTCATGGTATTATCCTCATCATTATGCTCCCTATGTCTCTGACATTTGCAATTTCAAGGATATTACCTTGCATTTTGAACTGGGTGAACCATTTAAACCTTTTGAGCAGCTTTTAGCAGTTCTACCATCAGCTAGGTAAAGTGTGCTCGCAGAGAGCTCCATTATATCACTGGAACAATATGATTACAGAATTCTTCATGTTTTACAGTAAATCATTGCTGCCAGCACCCTATCAAGAACTAATGACTCAAGAAAATTCTCCTATACTAGAGTACTATCCTCCAGAATTCCAAACAGATCTCAATGGAAAAAAGCAAGACTGGGAGGCAGTTGTTCTAATTCCTTTTATTGATGAGAAGAAACTTTTGTCTGCCATGCTTCCTTGTGAAGAGAGACTGACAAATGATGAAAAGAATCGGAATAGTTTTGGGCCAATGCTAGAGTACACATTTTCAAATGAAACACTTGGTAAGACATTTTAAATTTTTGTTCATGTTATTTTTATTGTGTAGAGACTAATAAAGACTCTTTACAGGAGAGTACAGTGCTCCTCAGTATTTCTCTACCATAAAAAATAATCATGCCTTAGTGCGTGCAATATGGAGAAAAGACTTACATCTGCAACCTGAAGAAATTGTGCATGGTCTCCCTCGTGGTGTGCGTCTGGATGTTTACTTTCCTGGCTTTCCTACTTTCAAACATTTACCTTTTAAGGTAGGTATTTCAATTTTTCATGAACCTTAATCTCTTTAAGTTTGTCGTCAATCACAGTGTTAACTTTCTGCTTCTTAATTTTAGGGGTGTCTGAAGAAAGCCAAAGTTCAAGTCTTTGACCAAGCAAGTAGAGGTGAAAATATGATATTGACAATATTGAATGTTTGCTCATTTTCCCTGAAAGAGGCTGCCGACCATTATCTTGGGAAGAATGTTTACTGTGGTTGGCCTCATATGTCTGAAGCAAGAGTAATAGGGGTCGCAGATGGTTCAAAACGTTACAACCTCCTTGCTAGTGGCAAAGTTGCATTGGAAAACCTTTCCAATAATTTATCTGATCAATGTGAGGCTACCAAAAAAGCCCTTGGTAATGAGTAAGTACAGTGCTGTTAACATTTACAACTGCAGTATACAGTGCACTACATGTTATGCTCTGACCTTTTTAAAAATATCTTTTTCTATCAATTATTAGGTACATGAGACGTCAAGGAGTGGAAATTGGTTGCACCAATCTTGTAGTTTATGTGAATCATGTAGTTGGTAGAAAGTATGTGTTTGGTCAGGCCGGAAAGATTACCACGGAGAAACAATACACTGAAATTCAAGACCCATATGCCATACAAACAGTTGTTCAAGACATTGCTGTCCATGACTCAAGTTTTGTACAGTTTCAAACCCTTGAGGAGGTATTTCCTGTGGGTAGTAAATGCTTCCTTCTTGCATCTCCAGTTTACGGAAGTATGGGTGAGGTAGGTTGAATGAAACTGCGCTTGAAGTTAATTGGGTGTGGTTTGGCTAACATACACCAATTTTCCTGCTGATATGTAATATTGACTGTACTGTAGCTCAAGATATTTTGTATGTGCTTTTCATGTTTTGCTGTCTATGCTTACAGGTTCTTGAGGTTAAAATGAAAGAGGGACGTTTGTTTTTGAAAATCAGCACTAATGGAGAACCAGATGTTGATTATGTGCGTTACAACCAACATTCATCAAAATCCCAGTTCATGCCAGGTATGCATTCAGAACAGTTTCACTACAGTGAAATTTCGTTACTGTACCCCTCCTTGTAACTTGTTTATCACTTGTTTTTCTAGGTAGCAAAGCAGCACAACATATTGGGATAAGCTCACACATACTCTCTAGGATCACTGGAACAGTCTTTTTGATTGTTGGAAATAAACAGGCTGATAACCCAAGCAAAATCAACATAGGACTGAATCTTAAATTCAATAAGAAAAATGAAGAGGTACCTGCCTCAAGTATATCAAATTACCCACGTTTATTCTTGGTCATAAATGTGTTATTCTCTAATTATTTTTCTTTATTCAGGTTCCTGGCTTCACTAAAAAAGAAAATAATATGTGGCTTTATTCTAGGAAAGCTATTGCTGTCCTTAAAGAATATGTTGAGAAATTTCCTGAAGTATTTGAACTTCTCTCAAAACAAACATCAAATGATGTTTATGATGACAAGGATATGTACCCTGGTGACAATTGGTGAGTTGATGTTTAGAAACTTCAAAACTAGTTGACGGTGTAAGAAATTGTATTTGGAAACAATCTACTATACCTCTTTTTCATCTTTCTTTCCAGTGCCGAGAAAGTTTGTGAACTATCCAAATGGTTAAAAGAAGTTCCTTGTGTGAATGTTGACCGTCAATCTTGTGGGGCTCAGATTCTTGATGATGAAGTTGTTTCTCAAATTCAAGATGTTGTCAAATCATTTCTTGACAACCCTCCTGACCCAAAGAGACTGAAACTGCAGGTTAAACCACATATTGTTTTTAAGGTACGTTTATAACTATAGGTTTGCATCTTATTCACTTTCAGTACTTTTTGTAATCCATCAACCGTTTTCTATTATATTTTTTAATTTGTTTTGTATTATTTCTTTGATTCTGGATTGTTGTAGTCATCATTACGGGTCGGCAATTTGGCACCTGACAATAGTACAACATTCCAACTATTTGACCGTGTTGTGAATGTTCGGGATGATTCTACTGTGCCTCTAGGACTTAAAGGCACAATTATTGGTTAGTTATTCTCATTATAATTTAAAGAAGTAGTTAAGCAGATGAGATTATTCTAAAAACCAATTTCAAAATTGATTATTTCAGGCATTCGCCCTTCAGAGATTGAAGCTGATACTATGTATGATGTGCTATTTGACAGAGAATTTCCCTCTGGAATGTCCTTGGCTGGCACAAAAGGAAATTCTTACAGAATGTCTAGAACTGCTTTAATTGATATATCACACGGTCTTCGCCAAGGCCTTATTCACGAAAGCTACAGTAAGTCCCTTACATGACCCTGTTGCTAAAGAGTTTGCTTTCAGTAATGTTTGAATGAACCACATTTATTTCTTAATCTCTATCTATCATAGGAAATGTCCAGACTCAACCTCAATCCAACTCAGCATTTGCTAAATGGGCTGGAAAAGGAAAAGAAGGAATCAAGCCAGGTAAGAAAAGTTTTCTTGTGTATTTTTTCTCTCTTCTGAAGAAAGTTATGTCTTTGAAATTTATTTGTTTTCTAAAATCTATTTTTATTTTTTTATTTTAAGCATCAAATATGAAAGAACCCTTACCCTCCAAAGGCTCAAACAGAGAGAAGCAGTTTACTAGCAAGAAGCAGTCAGATTCCCCCAACAACCCAGGCCGTTTTAAATTTCCTGTATGTGTAATTTCTTCAAGTTTCTAATGAACTGTAGCAAACATCCATTTATTGTATTTGATTATGTTTTCAGGCACCACCAAATGTACAAATTTTGTCGAAGGAGAACCCCAAACCATCAGTTCCCCCTCAAAATCAGCAATGGGATCAGGTGCAAATAAATTCGGGAAAGAGTACAAATCACAATGGTCTGTGTGGTCCTCCACCTCCAAATGCATTGCCAATACCAAACAACAACATGACTAATGTAATGGACTCAAAAACAAATACATTAAAAATGATGTTGGGAGTAGCTTCTAATGCAGCCAAAGCCCAAGAAGTAGTAAGCAAATTTTGTGCTTCAAAGTTCCATGTTACATGAAACATGCAACTTATAACTTTAATTTTTAATCTTGAATTGTAATAAGACTACACTACCTATGTATAATTCTTGTTGTGCTTTCAGCCAAGTGCCTTTCCTGTAGCCGCATCCCCTGCGGATTTTGCAAAGTCCATGAAGCCTACTTGTGAAATATCTCCCTATTCTCAAGATGTTTGTGGTTTTCTGCTCCAATTCTTCCAGAGGAAAGGTATTTGTTACCAGTGAGGAATATTCATCCTTATATCATCAATTATTTTGCAGTCATACATGCGACTTTTTATAATTTTCTAGGTGTTGGTGTGCCTTTGTATAGTGTAGCTGCTATGGGAGCTGATGTGTTTGCTCGACTAACATTACCTGATGGTACAATTGTGAATGGCAGACCTTCTTTAACCAAACAAGGAGTGAGTGATAAACATATTTGTTGTGCTATTTAAATGAATCATTATCATTGTTTGTATTAATCATTTTGATTTATTTATATGCTATTGCAGGCAGCAGAGAATGCTGCTTTTCAGGCTCTCCATTTACTTAAAGTTTGCCGTGTTTGTGATAATGAGGACATGCTATCAAGTACCAAGCAATTCACAACTCAATCTCAAACTCAGCCAAACAGGCAGCTGAGTGGGCAACCTCAGCAGTTTTTTGAACAGTTCAGACAGGGTCACTTCCCTGGTCAACCTGTTGTCACTTCAGGTGTGTTTTCATCTTCTGGTGTTGACTGTGTATTACTTAAATCCCAAACATATAGAAGTAAATTTTTCAAATCACATATGGAAAGCAACTGTTGCCATAAAAAATACCTATTCCTTTTTGTTACAGGAAATCCTAATTGGCTACAGTCTGGCCATAGCCAGCAGGATCATGCCAGAACCTCCTTCCCTCAGGGACCTCCATTTTCCCAGGTACAATTCTATTGACTCATTTTTTCTGTCCATGCAATATTTTCCCAATAATATATGATATGTCTAATCTTGCATTACAGGCTCTACAGCATCATAATCTGAATTATCAGCAACCTTCTCAACCTCCAAATCAACAGTACGGCCATCCATCCAGACACAATACTTTGGTTTCACATCAATCTCCCCCCAAAAAACAACAGTCAAATAACCATTACAGAAGAGAGGAGAGTGGATCTAATAACTGGCAGTCAGTGAAGCATTCACCTCAAAGACAACAACACCAAGGTGCGACAAAGAAAAACCAAAAGGATTCAAATTCATTTGTCCCTTTGCAAGCAATGAAAAAGCAAAGACATGCCCGTAAACTTGGCCCACCATCGCATCAAGGGCCCAATGTGCCTGTAAGGGGTCCAACAAGTGCTTCAAAAGAGAGAGATTCCACTATCAGTGTTGAACAGGTATAATCTCATGCAATTTTGTACATTACGACTTTACAGTATTTTTGTACGAATGAATTTGATGACTTGGAATGCTTTTATCTCTTGTCTGGGCTCTGTGCTAGTGCTCAGTTCAGTTGGGTCTCCTTGGTGAGGCACGTGAGCAAAAAGCAGTTTTGAAGCTCATCTGTCTCATGCATAGCTGCCTGATGATGCTTGTCAATTAACAACTTTTCTGTTGTTCTTTGTTTCAGTTGGAAAAGGGCAAATCACATGAAAGCAATCTTGAGTCGATCTCGAGAAAGACGTGTCCTCCACCATTAGGCCCAGACACAGCCAAGGAGCAGGACACAAGTAAAATCACTGTTAGAGAAGAAAATAAAGATGACTCTCGTTCTGTTTCAAGAATGAAGAGGTCACGTTTAGCTATCAATTTTAACTCATCAAATGCATGATTGATTTTTGAAATTTATTTCTTGGATTTTTTTTTTTTTTTTAATTTGTGACTGAAGAAATGACCTTTTTTTGTAATTTTTACATGCTATCAGCGTCTGTATAATTGAATGACCTTCCTGATGCGGTTAGATTTGGATCTCTGAGTATAAATCAAGTTTAAGTTCTGTAATACTAGAGCATCAAATCTCTAGAAATTTATGTGGAGTATGAACCCTTATTGATAGATCAACTGAGCAGGGTGCTTATGTGTAATTAATTTGTTTCATAACATGTTCCCAGTACAAAACTTGTATATAAACTTGTAAAATCAATGTGAATTAAAGCAACTACTCCTTATGGAATGTTTTTATCCTCATGAAATGCTCATCAATTCAAAACAGTTACTTCAATTAGGGTAACATTGGTTTCAGACCTTTTCATATCAGGGTTTATACCAGATCTGTATTTTCATTCTCCCTGACTTTCCCCCGATTTCCAGATGAAAAAAATCTGTCTTTTCCCTGACATTTTTAAATTTAGAGAGGAGGCAAATTTTACGGCGAAAACGGACTAAACGGCAGAAAAATAAAATAATGCTTTGTAAGATATGTTAAGAAAAATAATTATCATTCTTACAAAGGCGTCATGGCTAAAATTGGCCCATGCGTTCACGATGCCATGCTCGACGTGCAACTATCATATTTCCTAACTTTTCCCTGATTTCCAGTACAATATCATTTTCCCTGACCGGTAAGAACCCTGCAGGCCTGATTTAAGTGAATAGCATTGCAAATTTCTAATCATTGTCAGCCCACCTTTAAAAGGACCACAGTGACAAGTACAAGGTAATTACCTAAAACACTGCCACCTTAAGAAAACATCCTGCAATGTGAAAAAAAAGCTAATATACCACTATTGATTGAAATAATTTTAGTATTCGGCACTAATACAACAATCTATTAATTTCAGATTTGAATGCTGAGTTAATTCTTATACTGATGTGATATTTGAATTTTCATTAAAATAGCAATAGAATGTAGCATCAAAAATTGGTACATCAGCTATGACATTGGAAGATATGTAAGTAAAGATCCTAACAGGGGTCCAGAAGGCAGCAGCCCCCAGTATGTAAATTATATCACTTTGAAAATGTACTAGGAACCTTGTTGAATAGTTCAGGCCAGCAAACCTCAAAATGGAGTTTGGTTGTGTGTTCTCATATTAAAAAGAACTTGTGAGAATAACAATATGTTATAGAAATTTCAAATTTTCAAGTCTTGCTGTGACTAGTTTAATGTGATTACTTGGGAAGCAATTCATTGAATGATTGATGTGCTGCTTGAGCAAGACCGGAGAGGAGTTGCAGGAAATGAAAAGCACGGGTAATTTCACATCTTTTATTGACGTGAGCAGACAACAACACTTAACGGTTAGACTTGGCAACACGCTCCAATTCATCCTTCTTCTTGATAGCATAAGAGTTTGATGAGCCCTAAACATATAAAAATAAGAGTTAGTTGAATTCAGAACAGTTGCTGCTACAAATACTGTTAAGACATAATTACCTTTGCAGCGTTGATTAGCTCATCAGCCACACATTCAGCAATCGTCTTAATGTTTCTGAAGGCAGCTTCACGTGCTCCAGTGCACAACAGCCAGATAGCCTGTAATGAACAAAAGTTAAGAAAATGCCAATGGTAGTAAAATAAAATAAATCTAAAAACTGCACATACCTGGTTTACTCTCCTCAAGGGGGAAACATCAACTGCCTGTCGCCTGACAGTACCAGCCCTACCAATACGTGTGGAATCTTCACGAGGTCCAGAGTTGATAATGGCAGTTACTAACACCTGGAGAGGGTTCTCTCCAGTGAGCAGGTGGATGATTTCAAACGCGTGCTTGACAATCCTCACAGCCATGAGCTTCTTACCGTTGTTACGGCCGTGCATCATGAGTGAGTTGGTAAGCCTCTCCACAATAGGGCACTGTGCCTTGCGGAAGCGCTTGGCAGCGTAGCGACCAGCTGAGTGAGGTAGGTACTTAGCGTTCTTCTCTTTGACAGCGATGTAATCCTTACAAGAAAATTAAACAGTTATTGACTGTTCTTAAAAATTAAGGTTGATCGTCTATCTTCAGTGCAAGGGACCTACCTGGAGGGACATGTCGGACACCTGGACATCATCACAGCTCCAGCGGCCAAAGAGCTTGACCTCTGGCATCTCGGCAGTGGGGGCAGCGCCAAGGTCTGTGGCGCCTGCCGCCGCAACGTCGGCTTCATCACCCCAGTTCTCTTCTGACATGATGGCTGAAACCACAGAAAATATCACTTTACAAACAGAACGGAATATTGACACCGGCAAAAAATAAAGTCACAGTGTGATGAAATAGAGTTTAATCCACCAACGAAACGAAACACTGAGCCAGAAAATGAAGGTAAAGTCCCCCTTCCCAGTTCACAAACCAACATAACCTACACCGTGCCGTGACGCTGACAATAACAAGGCACTATTTGGCAAATATTGGAGCAAATGTTTAATACAGTAACTGTTTCACTCCAATGGTATACAGTTGGTGTCGAAGATACAATACCCGCGAGATAGTCGAGCAAGTGCCTGTGCCCGACACGATAATCGTAAATCTAGCAAGCCGAACAGACCGCAGAACTACCACGTGTCCACAACAATTCAAGAACAAGATGTAAGCACCACTACATCTTCACGTTCTATACAGCGCAAATTTCCTTGTTTTAACTATCAGGCGCCGAAGACTTACTCCTGCACTTAGAACTAGAAACTTGTAAAATTGATTCAACCTACACGAGTTGTGCTTGCGGATCACTACACGCCGATTGAGGAAAGGCTAGGCCGTTACCGGATATTCATTATCTATGCCGAAACATAACAACTTCTTCCTTCTTCTCTTCATTTTTGACCTGATTGTGCCAACATTCGCATTTGAAATATTTTCCCCCAACAAACAACAACTGTGAAAGAATGAAATTTTCTCTTCCGATTGCTGATATCTTCTTTTAAGATTTTACGAAAATTAAATGAAAATCTTGTTGATTTTTCACACTAGTAGTGATTGGTCAGAGAACTCTGAAAATTTGTAGTTGGCCAGCTTTCGCAAGGGGGCCTTAAAACAACTTTCATACAAGGCGGAGTGTTTACAAAAGAGGCGGGTGAGTTCTGCACTTTTTGATTAGTTGCACCTTGATTAGTTGGTTAACGAATCGCGTTTGGTTTGGATCAATCGTTCGAAGTATCATCCCCATCGCCTCGTGAAGATTGCTTACGTCAACCATGGCTTCGGCTTCGATTTCAATGAGAAAAGTAGTAAGTCCTAGGAACATTGCCAGTGCCAGTGCTTTTGTGTCGCCGTCACCAACTGTGAACAATTCCTTGGGTGTCGTACTTCGACGTGCTCAAGGAGGATCAAGGAGTCCACAATCACTGTCATTGAAAAGCTCTCCATCTTTAAGCCCATATGTGGCTCGTGTTTTAACTCCAAGCTCTCAAGCCAAGTACGTCTGACTCTATTTTGCGAATTATTTAATCTGTCACATCTCTTACTTTTGGATATATTTTTGGTACAGGAGTCCTTTAGCTGAATCAACTTCTAACATCACCAAGAAATTCAAAAGTGTCCGTAAATTGCCTTGGAGTGATGGAGGTGAAGCATCATTGGGAGTCCATACATTTGCTCAATCAGTGGGGAGACATGTAGATGTTCTGGAAAGCATTGATGAATGCAGACGTACTTGTCTTTCTTTTGACACTCCTGACAGAACTGATTCGTTGATTAGGTATAAGCAAAAGAACTGTGGCATTTTTCTTCTTGGCAAGGGAAGTTTTGGAACTGTCGTGGAAGCATTATATAAAGGTAATCTGCCATGAAGTTAGTTTCTTGAAGTAGTAGCTTTATTGTCTCTTTATTTCTTGTCATTGTATTCAGGGAAAACTGTTGCTGTGAAGATTGTTGAACCAAACACTGGTTCAATGCGGCAAATTAGGAATGAAATGAACTGCTTAAACTTACACCACCCTAATATTGTTTCCATGTTGAAAGTTGTACTGCCTGATAATGACATTGCGGGGGTTGTCATTATGGAGAGAGTTTGTGGTTGTACACTTCAGAAACTTCTTGACCATGATTTTCTGAAAGACCAACTATCAAAGAGAAGAAGGTACAATTTTAGCAGTTTCATCAGCAACTCATGACATTGTTTAAGTTGTAATATCATACGTCAGTATATTCAACCTGAATTATTTTATAGTTACAGTGTACAGTTAAGTTCAGCTTTGAAATATTGCCATGAACATGGAGTTCTTCATCTTGATATCAAACCTCAAAATGTGATAGTAGAAAATTTCATGGACAATTGTAAGTTGTGTGATTTTGGTTGCTCCTCACTCATAGGAGCAGAAAGACAATACCTGCAGGTAAGTGATATCATGTCAATAGTCAAAAATTAATATAGTGTGATACCAGTAGTTATTAATGTTCGTTAACTTCTACAAAGGGAACAGTAGGATACGCTGCTCCTGAGGTGTTACAGGGAATTAAACCAACAGCTGCTGCTGATGTCTATTCCCTTGGTATAACCATGTGGCAGCTTATTTCCGGGACATCGCCTTATAAGGGTCACCGGGAGCACACAGTAATCTACAAAGTAAGTTGGGTGCTATTACCTCCTAGTTAAGGAGAAACTTCATCTCATCTTAATAGCCTATTTCTCTTCTGTGGAGGTGGTTACTGATGAGTATCGTCCCGAACTTCCACCTGCTTCCTGCCCAGAGGATGAGAGATTTTTATCATTAATTCAGAGGTGTTGGTCACAGCAACCACAATGTCGACCTACAGTTCAACAGGTATTGGAAGAATTAGAACAAATCCAATGCTCATGAATCAGTTGGCCCTTTTGCATCTGTACTAGTCATTTATGTGAAAGTGAGTTTTTAACGCTCTTGTTATATTTATGTATATAGTGAATATTCAAGCTTTTATTTTTGTTATTTGAAATAATTTTTAAAATGTTGTTGAAGTTGTAGATTGCCTTAGCATCCAATTGAAAAATAAAATTGCCATGCAAATGAAATTTTAACAGTCAAACCTGGTTCATATACCTTTAATTATTTATAAATAAGTGAACAGAACATATTCTTGAAGTAAGAGAAGTAATTTTACTGTACAAGGTTCAGAAAGAATTGATTGGTAAAAAAAAAAGTGACAAAGAATAATTTTTTGGCCTATAATCATGCATCCGGCATTTCTCCACCAGGCACCAACTGCAAACAGAAAAATTGAGATAGAAAATTTAGAGCAACACAATTATGGTTAGCAGATGTTGTATTACCCACCATAGTTATGTTGTTGCCATTCAGAAGAATATTATCTAATTTGGTGATTCTTCTTCCCTCGGGGGTAGCCTCGTATTCTGTGACATCTTCCAATCGCATGTTTACAAAGTCATCAAATCCCAGTAAAGTGCCAACTATTTCCTTATCATTTTTCATTATTATGTGGATTCGGGATCCTATACACTTATCCACCAACTCTGAAAGACAGAAAAAAATAATGAATCATTGACACAAAAGAAACAAGAAAAACCAGCAACTGTTACAATCAAGGTAGTGGAGCAAGGAGAGGTTATGACCGTATTTAAATATCGGCCGACAAGCTTTGATGGAAATATGTAAGATATAAAAAAAAACTGAATGAAAAGTTCACAATATTCGAACTTATTAAACGCTACCGTTAAAAATTGGAGATCGTGTTAAAAACGGAAAAAATGACATTGGCACTAACCTAGAGGTAGAAGGGTGGAAGGATTGGTAGTCACTGAAGTCATGATTACTCGATTTGGGTAATAGATATGTAATGTGAGATTAAGAAGGATGGCCCGCAAGGACCGCTGATAACCAAATTCAACAATATCTTCCTCAAACTGGAGCTGAAAGGCGATACGCGAGCAAGCTAGCCCAAAGTGCCGGTCGAATGTTGTAGTAGTCAAATCAAAACAACCCAGATGGCGCTAGTGTAGCAACAGCAACACTTTTAATATTGGCGGCAGTCTATGACTTTTTTAATAACAGGAATACATTGAGGTATTTTATTCCACGAAATAGATTATGCCACTTTTCATTGATTGATCTTTTTAACAACAAGTCAATAAACACCTTTTTAGTGCTTGACATTCTTTGACACTACATGTCTTGTTTTTTTAACGTTGTTTAGAATTTGCTGCGTTCGGAGGTTAGCAGAGCGTGCGAATTGTTCGTTTTCATCCTTCAATTCATACTTTCTTTATTTATTAAAACCAATCAATTTGGTATCTGTAGACGATCTCTCGAGCCTTTAGCTTCAAAGTAAAGGATACGTTGTGCGAAAGCTGAGGATCTATTCGGTTGTCTTCAACTACTTCAACTAATCAACTGAACAAAGCTTGTTGTGGTTCTTTCTTGTTATATGACAGGACAAATTCAGACAGACAGTACAGTAATCGCTGCCACCGCCTGTATAATGGAGGAGGAGGACATAGATCCATTTTTGGAATACGATGAAGACAAGGAATGTGCTACAGGTGCTTTGAATGAACAAGAGCAAGCAGTATGTGAAGAGGAAGGTACACAAAGCAATTTTCGAAGTAGTCCTGTTTTCAATACACCCAATTTTAGGTTTAATTCTAACCACATTTGTCGAAGGAGCAGGATACGTGAGTATTTTAACAATCAACGTACAACTACATGCTCAATGCAACGTACTTGTTTCATTATTACTGTATTTTTGGATTTCTCTTCAGGAAAGTCTACCTCAAACCTTCCTCCTCAAGAGTTTTCTTTGCCGCTTGCTGGACGGTCTTTAGAAAATTTTATGTAAGTTCTCTTGGTGTGTTATCAGACTATACTCCTCCTGTGTTCTCAATAATGACAATTCTTCTCAATTTTGTAGAAGTCCTCAAAAATCTCCCGAAAATGTGTTTTTCTCGCAACAGTTAGAAACTGTACAGGCAGTACTTGAAGCATCTGTCAATGAAGTTGCAGAAGAAGCTCTATCATCTCATAGATCAGATTCAGAGGAAGACATATTTGTCAGCCTACCCTCTACTGCATACAGTCAACAAGTCATTCCAAGTGCTATAAATGACTTAATTAATTGTCCTCAACCAGCTGATGTTTCTTGGACTAGTTCAATGGCTACACCTCTGGCAAGCAATGTCACCTACTCAAACTTGAACACAGAGGAACGTAATGTCCTTCTTCCTAGTGAAGATTGCGGTGTGCCTGTAAGTCTTTGAAATCAAACACCCTTTGAAACTGTCATCCTAGTTTTTTGTGGTATAATAATTACTTAGCTCTTGTGTTCTATTGGGTTTGGTCACAGGTTAAGCCTCGGGCTCTGTTTTCTACCGATGCCAATGACACGGGTGATTGCCACTCACTGAATATCAGTGCAGATGCTGATTACCTTCAAAATGTTCAAAGTGAAAAATTTCTTAAAACACCCAAATTTACCAAAAAGCTAGATCTTAAAGCTTGTTTTGAGAGCCCTCTAGCTACAACCAGTGTTCATCAGGAAGGTGCATCTTCAATGAAGTTTCCCAAACTGCTAAATGAAATTTCTAGAGGTTCACCTATTCTATCTGGTAGTGACTTCCAAAGAACTCCAAATCACAGTCTGATTGAAGGAGATGAAGATTTATTTGACAATGCTGATGAAACTGGCAATTTGTCGTCTCATCATTCTGGCAGTAATAAGGATTGTAGTGCTGAATCAACTCCAAATATTGGAAAGAGAAGGAAGTCTCCACAAGATGCAAGTCCTCCTCACAAACAAGAGTTAAGTAATGCTGATTCATTTCTTCAAGATATTTCCGTCACTGCTTTGGAAGAAGTTTGTAAAGCTCAGGAGTTGAGAAGTGCTTTGCAGTCTCCTGCTGTAACACCAGAGAAAGAGAAGCAGCCTGATACAAAAAGAAAAAGATTGCTATTTTCCACCAATCTTGCTGCCTGTAACTCAATGGAAGCAGTATTCAAAACCCCTGAAACTAAAGTGAAACAGGAAGAAGAAGTATCTTCTACTAAAGTGAATAGCACAGATGATATTATTCCTGATGACTCCTTTATGGAACATTTAGCTGCTATGAACACTTCAATATTTAGTGAAGAGTTCCAACCTACCACAAAAGTACAATTAATTAAATCTTCTGTTTCTCAGATGGGAAAGTTTTCATATTCTGTTGACCAACAAGCTGAGGAGAATTTTGAAAATTCAATAACCAAAACGGAACCCAAAAAGATTATGAAGGAAATTATTAGCTCTGTCTTGGCTCTTGAATCTCATAGCGCTCCAAGTAGTTCTAAGCAGAGGACTGTAAAATCCACGGGGAATTTAGTGGCCTTCAGCCAATTACAAGGAGAAATGAGTGAGGCTCCAAGTGAAGGAAACATCCCTCTGGAAAGATCATTAACTGCAGTGAATTCTGAAGACCACTCTGTGCCAAATGTTGACCACTCTTTTTTGCGTGTAGACACCTCACCATTGCCATCCGCAGAGTTTCAAACAGCCAATGGAAATCAAATCAAACTTTCTCAAAAGGCAATTGACAAAGGTTTGAGTGTCCTAAAAGAGGCCATGAAGGATATTCACCCCTCTTCAAACAACATGTTGGAGGCCATTCCACAAACTTGTTCTTCTGAGAAACAGGTTACTTCAACCAATACAGGAAAAGAATCCAATAAATCTCTTAGTGCCAGTTTTGATGATGACCAGGTTAAAGAGGAAGTAAAAGAACTTCTTAAACTTGTCAATGATGGTGAAAATTTTCAACCATGGCATGAAATCGAGGACCCTGGCTGTAACAAATTAAAAGAAGAATTGCAAATTAAAAATAGTGCATCTGACAGTCAGAGCTCCAAGTCCTCTGTGAACGCAGGATGTAAAAATGATGTAACCAGCCATATTATTCTAGGCTCTTCCTCTCATGGGTTTTGTACTGCAAATGGTAAAAGTATATTGGTCTCAGAAGATAAGTTAGCTCAGGCAAAAAAGCTATTGTGTGAGACAGATGACGAGTTAATGAACCTAAAGTCAGGAAATAATGATGATTGCCTAGATCGACCATCAATAAATAAAATGTCATGCAAGGTTGATAGAAAACGGAGTTCTGTAGAAGTCAAAGATAGTAATTATACTACTGAAAACAAACGGGTCTGTCTTGAAAATGTTTCCAGTGCTTCAAAGAAAGAAATTGAAGAAAAGTCAAAAATATCATCTTGCAGTACTTTAAATAGCTGCGGAGTCAATGAAAACTCTGTTTCAACTCATAAAATAGATATTGGGATAATTTCAATGAACATATCAGAAGAAGCATTAAATGTTGTAAATAATTTGTTTGGAAACAAACCCAGTTTAGCCAGATGGAAGCCAAATGACAGTTCTGTTGAACTTGAAACGTCTAAAGGTTTTTCAACTGCATGTAAAGCTGAAGAGGAAAGTGAATGGAATTTTAACAAGTCTAAAATTGCCCAAGATGCATCAGGACTTGGACCCTTTGGCTCTGAGAATGCAGAACAAACACCTTTCAGAACTGTAAATGGAAATGAAGTCTGTATATCAAAACCATCTGTTGACAAAATTAGGGACCATTTCCCACATAGCACTAAAGAGTCTTTGAGTGATTTGAAAGTTGGGGGTTTCCTTATCCCCATAAAAGACGAAACTAAAAATACTGATGATGCTTGCTTCACATCTGCCAGTGGGAAGAGAGTTGCTGTATCAGAAATGTCAATGGCCAGAGTGAAGAATCTTTTTAATGATATTTCAGCTGAAGACCCTAATATTTTATCTGGTTTTGAGAAAAAATTGACTGTGTCTAAGCAGGCCATCAAGAGAGAGGAGGATCAATCTGAAAGTTCAGTTTTGACTTTGAAAGAAATAAACAGCCAGAGCAATGCACAAGTAGGCTTTTCAACCGCAAGTGGAAAAGCTGTAGATATTTCTGAAGACTCATTTAAAAAGATCAAAAACCTCTTTGATGACATTCCAATAGACAGTACTTCTGAATCAGAACACCTTTTACGCGCATCATCTGCACCCTCCAATATGTTAAGGGATCAAAACCTTAGTGCACAGACTTGCAAATCATTTGCTCCTGTGAGTAAGCAATGTAAAAGGACATCATTCGGAAGTAGAAAATCTTTAAAAATGTCTAAACCATCACCGGTGAAAAAAGTTGACAATGAAATAGGCTCTGTGGTTTCCTCTTCTATGGAAGGAGATGCAGACAGTCCATCAAAAAAAGGATTTTTAACAGCAAGTGGTAAGGCTGTAAATGTGTCAGAGCAAGCTCTTGATAAAGTTAAGAAAATTTTCAGTCAATTTGACCTTGAAATGAATTGCTCAGAGTCCATAGCAGACAATGGTTATGGAAGTACCCATATTGAGAACAATTCAACTCATAATAGAAATAACAGCAGTAAGGAATACACTGTCCAGGGATTCTCAACTGCAAGCGGGAGAAGTGTCAGCATATCTAAAGAAGCATTAAACAAAGTACAGGGTATTTTTAATGAAGAATTACTTCCTCCAGGACATCTTGGAATTGAAGGAAAAGCCAAAGCTTCTGTTACTGCACCAAAACTTTCAAATACTGCTGCATCAAAAATTACAACAAAACAAAAAGAGATATCCGAGGGAACTTTTAACATGGCTGGTTTCTCAACTGCTGGTGGTAAAGCTGTTCAAATTTCTAAAGAAGCCATGACAAAGGTTAAAAATATCTTTAATGACTTACCCAATGATTCTATGAGTGAATGCTGTAATGATAATCCAGTTTTGAGTAGTTCGACCAATAAGTGTGAAATTGTTGCACAAAATTCTACAGACTTCATGATGGGTGCATTTTCAACAGCTGGGGGAAAGTCTGTACACATTTCAAAGAAAGCTCTCAGCAAAGCCCAGTCTCTTTTTGAGAATTTACCATTTGATTCTTCTGTTGATTCAGAAGAAAATAATTCTTCTGATCCAAATAGAAACAAATCTTCAGAAAATCATGTTACTCTACCAGAGAACTGTGCTGGTTCCTCAACAGAGTTAGTTGGTTTCTCTACGGCAGCTGGTAAAGCTGTCCCGGTTTCCAAGGAAGCTATGGAGAAGGCCCGATACCTTCTTGACGAATCACCATCTGAGAGTTTAAATATGGTTCAAAACAGTGCATTGTTGAAGACAAGTGTGCCTGCTGAACCAAAGTATTCTTTTAACAGCCCACATAAAACGTCTTGCTTCACCACTGCTGGTGGTAAAAGTGTTCACATTTCAAAGGAAGCTTTGAAAAAAGCTGAAAATCTTTTTGAAGAACTACCTTTACAGGCTACTAACACAACAGGATCACATGTCTTATCAGTGTCAGATATGAAATTTGGAACCACTAATTCAGTTTCAAATGATTCAGGTGTTGGATTATCATTTGAATCATTTAGTAAATCTTTGCGGTCAAACACAAGTTTAGCAAAGACTGCAGGGGCAAATGCCGTGAATGTTTCTTGCTTTCCCAGTAACAACAAAGAAAACCAAAATGTCAGTTTGAATCAAGACTCAAAAATATATGTGTCAATGGAAATGCCAAAATCAAGTTTGACTCAAGAAATAACAGCAAGCACTGCCGCATTTTTAGCAGATGATGAGTTTTTTGATGAAGCAGAGTCTATGGATGTTGCAGCAAATGCTTTGAGAACTATCAAAACCAGTCCTTCAATGGTAAGTGATCGCTTCAATAGTTTAAAACCAATTCTTTCATCAGCACCAGAAAACAAAAGTCAGCCTCCTGCACCAACAAGCCCTATTTTGGTCAGAAGCGACAGTATGGGTACCAGGAGAAGAACCCGTAAGGGTAGACTAAGCCTCTCTTCAAACTCATCTGTGGATAGGCAACCAGTTCTATCTGAGAACTGCAATAAGTCTCGGTTTTCACTTCCACCAAAAATTACTTCTACCGAACCCTCTCCTCTTACTAATTCTGTTTTAAATAGAGAAAGTTCAGGTTGTAGAATGAACAGCAAATGTAACCAAGATATTACACGAACTAGTGATGTCAAAGAGACTTCTAAACTTCCCCCATCTCGCAAGCTTTTTGACCATGGAGGCACATCATCTGCAGAACTTGATACTCCAAATGCTAAAAGTATTGGCATTGCTCCACTGAGGGAAAGTAGTGCAACACCAACAAGTACTAGCAGCGATAAACAAACTTCTGAAGTTACTAAGCCTCTCCATCAGGCGCCATTGATTAAAAGAACATTAGCGAGAAATCTGAGTTGTTCAGCTTCAGGATTTAAAACTCCATACAAAACTACCAACAACAAAGAACCACTGAAGCGATCCCCATCCAGTCCAGCGCAAAATGAACCCGAGGCAAAGAAGAGAAAATCAGCTACCAATCTGTATGTCTCACATATTCTATATTCCTCATTTGAATCAACACCCTCTGGAAGCAGAGACTTACGTCCTGAAGTAGCAGAAATGCGAAGAAGAGCTGCAGAGGAACAAAAACAGCTTGTAGAAAATTTTGCTGAGCTTAAAGGAGAATTGCTCAAACCTCGTATTGGAATTTGGTTTGCCAACAGATCAGGGAATAACCCTTGCGTTGAACGAAGAAAAATGATTGATTTCGGTCGGCCAGCAAACTTTCTCTCTCATGAGGTGAGCACAAGTATTTTAGTCAGGATATTCATATTGACCACATAATAAACAAAATTATTGATTTGAATAAATTTCTTTGCAGCTCTTTGAAATGGGACTTCAGACAGCAGTGGTGTCCATTAATGCAGATACCGCAGCAGAATTCCGTTTTTCTGCTTGGGACTACTACAGGTAACACTGCCCACTCAGCAATTGAATTTTCTGTCTTTAAAAAACATAAAATTACTAATACCAATATTGAAACAATTTTCAGTGAGGATATATGCAAGGAAAATGTAGCTGGTCTTCCTGTTGGAGATGGAGCCCTTCTTGTTCTTGATGCTCAAGGGACCGCTGGTGTTGAAGAATTTACTAGGGCTTTCCTTGCAAGTCCAGGCGTAGATCCGTCTTTAGTACCCCGTGGTTGGGTGAAGAATCACTACCGTTGGATTGTATGGAAACTTGCAGCTTTAGAAAGGACATTGCCATATCAATTTGGAAAGAGGTATGATTGATGAAAACGATTTCCTGTAAGCATTGTATTATTTACTTTTCATGCAATTTAAAATTTTAATTTTACCATGCTAGATGTCTTTTACCCCACACTCTAATGTTGCAACTAAAATATCGCTATGATAGAGAGGTGGATCGTTGTCAAAGACCAGCTCTCTGCCGCATTCTAGAACATGATGATTCAGCAGCCAAACGGATTGTATTTTGTGTTGCTGGTATCATAGGAGTAAGAATCAACCTTTTTCAAAACAGTGATGAAGTAGTTGAGAAAAATGAATGGTTTACTCAGTATTACTGTTTTTTCAATTCAGGGCAAAGACTCAAAGAGTCCTCAAGTAGAACTGGAACTTACTGATGGTTGGTATAGCATAATAGCCACAATAGATCCGGACATGCAACACAGAGTGAGAAAGGGAATGATCAAAGTTGGCACAAAACTCATAACACATGGTGCAGAACTGGTTAATTGTTCAGAGGGATGTTCTCCCCTTCAGGTAAAGAAATTTTCTGTAAGATTAAAATGATGTGCGATTTTCTCTTTTGCTCATTTTCTATAAATTTTTTCTTAGGCAAGTCCTGACATTCGTCTCAAGTTGTGCAGCAATTCTACCCGTCGTGCTCGCTGGTATACTAAATTAGGTTTTCAAGATAACCCTGGCCCTATCAAAATTGACTTGGACTCTATACTTAGTTCTGGTGGTGTTGTGAGCTGTTTTTCAGCATATGTTGCTCGGGTCTATCCCATTGTATATATGGAGAAAACTGAAGAGAGAACAGGTAAAATTCTGTTTTCCCCCCCTCAAATCCCCAAATTACAGTATAAGTATCCATATCTATCTTATATATCTATATTTATCTATCTATCTTTATTGACTATAGTTGTGAGATCCCAGCGAGCTGAATCCAAAGAAATGACTAAATCAGAAAAAAAAAGACAGCAGTTAGCTGAAGTAGTTTACAGTCAAGTTCAAAATGAACTACAACTGGAACATTCAAAAAAGAAGATTAAATCAGTGAAGTGTTCTCTTAAAAATCTATCATCAATTACCTCTGGAGAAGAATTGTGTAACATTCTGGAAAGTAGTGCTGATCCTCTTAGTGTGCAGGTAAGAAGTTCAATCATTACAGATTTGGTTTATTAGTTTTAAATTAAGAATTTTATTAATTTTTAATTTTTACCCAAGTGCATGTTAAATGAGGAGCAGAAAGGAATAATAGCAGACTATCAGCGATTGAGACAAGAAGAATTACGCAGTGAAATGGAAGCAAGAGTTCATTTAAAACTTTCAGGAAAGTCTGATAAAGAACGTCAGGTCACTGCAATTCTGAAGGTATTGAAGTCTATCTGTCTGTCTTCCTGTCGAGTTATAAACAATATAAATCTTGTCATTTAATTTGTTTTGAAATTATGACAGGTGCGATTAATAGACTGCAGCAGTAGTAAGAGTTGCTCAGCCATGCTGTCTGTTTGGCGTCCTTCTGAAGATATATCGTCAGTTTTTAAAGAGGGACAAAAAATTACCATCTTTAGTGCTGTTGCAAGCGGATTAAGGTACTTTAATAGAAGTTACCTTAACTCCTTCAGTATGCACCTTTTTTAATTTTCATATTTGAATTTTCTTACAGGTGTGGAGATTTGCAGCTGTCTGCCTCCAGATCAACCCGTTACCATGTAGACAATTCATCAGAGATAAAGTCTGATCTTGTACGAACTGTGTTTCCGCTTGATTTATCATCTCTAACCATAAGTTCACCTCGCTTCGGAGAGTTGGATATTGTAGGCATTGTGATAAGAGTTACTCCTGCACCACAGACACCAGGAAATACAACCAACTTTCAAACTGCTTACGTCAGTGACTCTCAATATAATATTTTAGGTATTACATTCTGGGAAGGAATAAAGGTTAGTGCAGTGTACCTATATGGTGTATATACCAATCAATTTATCTTGTAGTTATCTAAATTCAAAGTTCTTTTGCTTTCCTCTAAGGTGTTTGCTGTTGAAGATTTAATCACTCCCCGTGCCCTCATTGCTGCTACTAACTTGCAGTGGAGGGCAGGGTCTGGTAATAAAGCTATTCCTAGTGTATACGTAAGTGAATTTTCATTTTTCACAACAAATCCCAAACCAGCATACTTGCATACTGCTTTGCAGAACCTCCGGCGCTCTATATCCAATGTAAGTATTTTCTTTCCTAAATCTAAGTTTGATTACTGTTCTTGTATCAATGGTTTGCCATTTTCTGGATCTTTTCTTGATTTTGTCGTCCAATAGGACATAAAGATGTTCTGCAAAACGTGTGATGACAAGCTAGACAAGATACTTTCATCGCCAGCTGGCTATCCAAGAATCCCCAATGCTGTTCAACCTTCTTCAACAGAGCAAAACACACCAGTGTCAACATCAACTTCTGCTCTCCATCATGAAAGTAATCCTAATTCCTCCTCTGAACTAGAAGTCAAGGCCCAGCAAAGATTATCTGTTGACTCACAGTTTGAAAGTCCTTCTAGTGCTGGAATTTCACCAGCTGTTGAAAAAAGGATAGCAAAACTTGAAAAATACGGAGATCCTCCACCAATATCTCCCATATTAATTTGCCAGCCACGAAGGTCATTAAAGAAAGCCTTTAAAGCTCCAAGGAGAACAGATAGTCCTTCATCTCTTGTTTGTAAGAAAAAAGATTGAGATGATCTGCGGTAGTAAGTGAAGCCTAAGACTAACTACATAATAATTATTACAATTATGATATTTGTTCCTCCCTATTTTATAAGTGATATTACTTTGTACGGCTACCAGTAAATAAAATGTTATTTCCAAGTCACCTTGTTTCAAGTATTCAAGTTATTTTTCTTTTGAAGTTTCAAGGAGTTTGATTGTACTGTATTAAAAAGAATCTGAATACATATGTCAAGTATAATATTTTACTATAGATTTGTTTCATCATTTTGTTTTGCTTGAAAGGACTCAACCACCATAAATGGTAAACTAAATCAAACTAATATCAATTGTTATTTTATCATAATAACTGTTCTCATACAAATGTCTTTTTTTGCTTGTTATTCCCCTACTTTTGCTGTCAGCAGCTGTTTGAAAGGACTCTTCAGGCAAAACAAAATGGTTCTTATCTTTTATATTGTTGTGTTGGTGAAATATTTATTGATGGAATAAGAAGCTAACAGCTTACGAAGTTTACAAACCTTCATAACTTTGTAGAACTGGCTTTTTTCCATCATTTTTTGTTTTTTGTTTTACTTTTTATGCTGATTTTATTTATTTGAATGGATTGCTGTACGTTCATTTTCTTTTTACTGTTTTGATTGAGTTTTTGCAATCTACACATTTTTTGGGACTATGTATTATCTTTGTGCCTTATAAGATCTGAAATTGTTACTTCTACGTCTTCTTTAGATAGGAACCTTTACAATATGTGCACAGGTTGGCTTAAAATCTGATTTTTATTGTAAAGAATGTGAGAAGTATAAATGCTATTGTCCATGAAAATGTAGCAAGAAAGCCCACATATACACCTGGGTGATATAAGTTCCAAGCTCTCAAAGCAATATTCCTCAATGAAATGGTCGCAGATGTCATTGGCAAAATGGTGGCAATGGGTCGCATGAGTATGTGCATCCCTTCTAGAGGCCAGAGCATACCTGAAATTTTTAAAAAAACAATGTGTTGTACTGTTTGAGGGCAGTGGTGACTTATATTCGGTATGATAATACTCACTGCTCATAAACATCAGTGTGAAGTACGACCCTGTTCCAACCAATGAGGCTGCTGTAGTGGAGTCGAAAATGACGGCCGTTAAGAGTCCTGAAAATAAAATAAGTAAATCATAAAATTCGGTTGTTCATTCATTGCTCTCATTGCTGATATAATAAGAATCTGCAAGTATAGATGATCAGCTGCCTCTCCCCTCACTCACTCACCGTACCACATGCCGCATACGCCCTGCGCTAGACACAGCAACACATAGGGGACGGCGGGTCCAGCCAGCAAGTTGCCGAAAATGCCGAAGGCTACCAGCAAGACGAGGGCGATCTGTCCCAGGATGACAAGCAGCTGAGCTGCAAATTGGGCCACGAGCACCTCGCTCATGCGCACGCCTAGAAGGAAAAGTCCGCGAAAAACTTCCATGAGAAGGGAATTACCGGATGATGCATCGCGACCCTGTTTGTAGCTACACGAGCCGACAGTGCCCTGGTCAGCTTAAACTTGACCGTCTATAGACGAATTCATTACTTCCGCCAATGCTAGAATATCTACCAGAAATAAACAGCGCGTAGAACTAAAGCGAAAACGAAAGATATCAATGCCTCTCCGAAGCTCTCGCCTTGTCCAGGCGCTCAGAGGGACAGGGGGCCGCGGAGGCCCGATTCAGGAAAGCATTGCCTACCCTCCAGGCGTTTTCAGCGACAACCGTCGACCCACGCCTAGATTGACACGGCGTCACTTCTTAGCTTTAGAAAGGATTTATGAGCCTGGAGTCAAAAGGAGCCTAAACCCAAAGTCCTCGTCCCTACAGACGCCTTGAATAGAAGCCGTGGCCTACCTCGCAGGCGTCCAAGTGACAACTCATGTTGCGGCGACAAGTGGTAGTAGACACGTCCCTGTTTATGGACACAAAAATGTGGTCACAAATGGGGCAACATACGATGTCCGACGCCACTAGCCACACGCCCCTTTTGTAGTTAAACAGTTGTAGCTACAGACAGTCGACATTACCGCATGCAGCTTCATCCGAACCAAAATTGTCGGCCCTAAGATCAACTCCCGGGCGGGGCAAATTTTTTCTTTGTCGCTTTTTGTCTCCCGATGGGCATGACCGAGCTTAGACCTCGGCCCCGTAGAAGAAAGCTGGTAGCCGAGCGTGTTAAAGCGTGATCGTTGGCAGATCATGCGGGTGGTCTCTAGTTCGAATCCCATCCGCGGTAAATTTTTCCCTGCATTGCTGGCCAAGTGTCTTCGGGCATCGGTCACAGCTTAGGTCAAGATGCCGCTGAAAGTAGTGCGTTGTATCGTTCCGTCGTGGCCAAGTCGGTAGCGTCCGAACCCGGTATGAACCTGGTCACTGGTTCGAATCTCGGCCGGGTCATAATTTTCGCGCTCGGCTAGCCATGACTTTACAGCCGTGCGACACCTGATATGATGGGCCGGTACGCAAACAGTAGCTGGTTCGAATCTAGTCGACGGAACCCTTTTCCCTCTGCCAGCCATATGTTTCGGGGTGAGAGCCACAGCGGAGATAAGCTTCACCT